TGAACATCCCTTTTCAGGGCATGGTGTGAAATGGATTTGAATGAGAAAGAGGAGGTCAGGAGAGGAGGTGTGGAGGCTAGGGGAGGGGAAGGACGAAGGGAGCAGGGTGGGAAACCGACAGGAGGGAAGAAGAAAAGGAGGTAGACGGATTTTCCATTTGTAAAAAAAAAAAACAGGGCCACTGGTTATTGAGTTGCATGAGAAGGATCTTCCTTTCTCTTTCTGTTCTCTCCAGCCTTCTCCCTTGCTTGTCCCCTCTCTCATTACCATAGCAGCTGCAGAGCTGTGCGTGTGTGTGTGAGTGTGTGTGAAGGGAGGGGGTCCGGGTCGGGCAGTGTGACTTAGGCAGGGGCTCCCGTCAATGGTGGGCCGTCTGGGGAATGAATAGAGGCGCACAGAGTTGAACTGGACAAACAAAAGAGAAGAGGAGAGAAGAATGGGCGCGTGAATGGGGCGGCTTGTCACTGCGAGCTAGAGCACACAAAATGGAGTGAAATAGTGAAAGAAAGTTAAAAGGAGCAGAGGGCATGCAAGGATTGGCCTGGCCACCTGTCTCTCTCGCTATCTGTCTTTTGCCCCTTCTGTCAATGGAGGGACTAAAAGTTGGAGGCATGAGAGCGTGATTTGGGCAGAAAAATGCAATGTAAGCAGTATGTTTAAGAGTGAACTACAAGTGAACTACTTTTTTTTACTTATTCATAAACAACTGATGCAATACTAGAACATCTGTGATGAAATTTTAGTGTGCTAAATAAAGTTATTCTCTTGATTTAATCAGAACTCACAAAATAATTGTGTCACTCAGCTCATAGAATGTTGAATATAACAATATAAAAAAATGTGAGTGGTTGCATTATTACCCTTAAGTATCCTCAGACAACACTATACTAAATGTTTTTTTTGTACTCAGTGTAGTGAAGGAAACACATGGCAATTCTAACATCCTTACCCATAATCCCCTAACCAGTAATTAGGTTACATTGACACAAATTATCAGCTTTAACAGTAACAATCCCCTGCTCTTTAGGTTGCTAGCATGATTGGGCTTGCTTGGCTACATGTTGCATATAGCATTGGCTGTATACATATAATGGTGGTAATTCATTCAGCTGATATCACACGGTAGCCTATTAGCCATCTATGGAAATGCAACCGGGACACAGACATGTAGCCTACAAATGTGTAACTTATTTGCTGAATTGACATTTTCAGAGTTCAAGTTCCAGATTAAGCTGAAACTGTGTTTCAAATGTGGGAGATAAGTATTCTAACAAAGAAATTGCATGTAATTCCTTTAACTATATAAAACTGGTGGAAGTCTGTATTACCTTGTGAAAAACAACGTTATCATGTTTTTAAAAAGAGTACTTAAGCGTTGGAAGTATATACTTTAAAATAATATGTGCCAACTGAATGTAATGTTTTTGGACACTTAATTGCTTGATATGTACAATTAAATGAAATGTATTCTAATTAAAATTTAAATTAAATGCAAGTAGCTGAACTTTAGAATGCTTTTTGACCAACTTAAGTAGGTATCTTTAAATGACTTCTATTGTCTTTGAAATATGGTTAACCTGTGGTGAGCGGGGCACAACCGCGGGGCTACAGTATACTTGTAACACACATGGTTTAAAACTTTCCACACATGCCAGCATGACCAAACTTAGTGTATTTATTAGTTGCCATATCATAGTACACTATATAGAGAAGATAATGTGACACAATTAAAAAAATCTTCGGATTAAATCACTGAACATTTATTTAAGTAGAGCAAAAGTAAATTTCTTAGGTACATTTTTCATCAGTTTTTTGTTTTGTAGGTGTGTTTATTTAAAATTAGACAAATCTGATATTATTTTAATCTTATATCTGTTATTTAACAGTTGATATAGTTCTTTAACTATATCACTAGCCGGGTTTAAATCACAGTTGCGCAGGTGGGGCATGCTGTAACACTGCGTTACAATGAGCCCCTAGAACTATGCTATTCTATTCTACTTTTATGAATTATATTGAGAAACCATGAGAAAAAAGTGAATAAAGACTGAGAGTCAATGTTCAGAAATTATTAAATATTATGTTTTGAACTATGCTGTATAGCTCTGTTTTGTTGTGTGTTGTCAAACTCAAAAAATACTTTATTTATAATTATTTAAAAATGCCATTATTTTATATGAAAAAGTTAATAATTGTATTTTATTGACAAAATATTTTGGTTTGTCTTGTATATTTTTTTTGTAGGATCAGATAACATTTTAATCTGTCATATGGTTATGTTGGTTATGTTACAATGTGCCCCTCACATGTTACAACATCCCCCACCTATGGGGCGTTGTCACATTTCACTTCCATTCTTTCAGGGTAAATCAAGAAAAAAAGCATACACTGTATTAATGAAACAAAAGCACATAATTGTACTAGACATGTGGAAAATTAATTTGGGAAAAAATAAATACTCTGAACCCTAAGTGAATTTACACAAACAGAGAAAGTCAAAAAGTGTTGTGCCCCGCTCTCCCCTACTGTTGAATGTATTGACAGGCATTCATGGTAAAGTAAAATATACTTAAATGTCATTCTATTTAAACTTGTATATCATGTATTAAATTTAAATTATATTTTTAATTACACATTTGTAATGATGAAGTTGCGACTTAGTACATTTAAAATATATTAACTAAATATAACATCAAATAACATATTACAGGTATAAGTACTATACATGTGCTTTAGTTTTTTTAACACATCAAAATAAGTGTAGTCCTTGGAAAAAAAATATTTCAAATTTACTTTAAAGTAAAACTTTATAATGTTTATTACTGCAAAGTGCACTTTTTAAAAGTTTACTTAGGTGTGTTAAGAAACATGAAGGTGTACTCTATTTATAAAGTGTATATATATATATATATATATATATATATATATATATATATATATATATATATATATATATATATGTGTGGTCTTTAGTTTCATTAATGTCACATTATCTGCAAGAGCAGTTTTTTTTTAAATATATTGATAAGATTTGAAGTACTCTGCACGTACACAGTACTATTAAGCACATGTCTTTTTCACATGGTTTGTATTAAAGGTTAATGTGGACTTGTTTTAACTAGTTCATTTATTTGCAGCCAAACTGGTGTTTACTGTGGAGCTAAATGCTACATGCTACGGCTATATGGAACATGTTTCTCTGTAAAATATGTAAGGCATATATCTATAAAGAAACTTATTTAGACTAACTGCATCCCTATATGTGCTTCACAGTTCATTTGTCACAACACTTGTGTTTCTTGGAAATACTGAGCAACCCTATGGCTCTGCTATACCTGAGGAACAGGAAGAGGCTTAATCAAGGAACAATAATATTCAGGAGAGTCATGCGCAAGTCTATGCATTACACCAGTAATTTTCTTAAAACCACAGAATTTAATATCTAAAATGCCTTTGTACATAACGTACAAAATACAGCAAGTAATATATTTGAAATATGACCACTTACATCGTTCAAAACATAAACAAACAGCTAAACATATATAAAAACACAACAAAATAACAATTCACAAAAGACAAATCATTATGAGAGGCTTTTTCCAAACTTCTCTTTGATGAAAATATCTCAAAAGTTGGTCCAAAAAATCACAGTCATTTGACTTTTATCTCAATCAAAGAAGTTACTTTTACTTTTATGTCATAAATGTTATGGCATTATCAAGTAAAGACTTGTGCATTGTGCAACTTCTTGTTACACTGGTTTTACCATAGCATCCCCCTAAAAAGAGGAGGATGGGACTTCGGATATAAGAAGTGCTCCAAGAGTTTTTTTTTTTTTCTGAACACTTTACTTATATGTTCTTCCATTATGTCAAAAGTTGTTATAGTCTAGAATATGTTTGACATTACTTATGGAGGGACATTTAAGCAGAGTGTGTTACATAATTATACATATAAAGTAATTCAATTCATTTGGCATATAAATGCCTTTGATAAGAATGAGTGAAAACCACCCTGGAGCTTCCATACAATAAGAATTGTTTTTCCATTTAGAAAAATAGAATCTTTCAAAGTTGGCTTGACACCAACAACTCATAAAACAGCCATCAGTGCAATATTTAAAACATTCTCAAGTATAAGCGATGCATATTTTCATACTGGCATTGAAGCGTTCCAGAAGTCACAACACATTTAAACCTTATCACATCTTGCCTGAGTTGGCAAGGGGTATAAGAAGACGAGTCCAATGTGCTTTAGGACAGTGCAGTCTATACACTGATCTATGGATTTGCTCAACCTCTGAATTACAAAACAGTAAAGTAATGTTTACTGGCTTGAAATGTGTGGATCAAAAAACAGGCTTGAAATGTGTGGATCAGCACCAAAAAAAAAAAAAAAGTTTAGTGTCAGAAACTCAGTTCACATGGGAACTCCATAACAATTACGACACAACAGTGCCAAAATAAAATCATATTTGGTAGTGTCCGGGCTAAGTGTTAGCATTAATATATATCAGTTCAAGAGGTGAGTGATCCTGAATGGTGAATAGATAGGCTACTAGTATGATACTAAACTTGATGACCAACATTGCAATGTCACCATTATAATGCATTACAGTTGAGGTATCAGACATCAGTCCCTGTTTTAGACAATATGCTGAGAGAATGTGTACATAATGTAATTCTATACAGGAATATTTATGTCAGTCTAGTCAGTGTGCGAATTATTCATTGACTCGGGGGTCGACTTTCTGAAGGAATGCCTGTCAATAATTTTGTTGGTCTCGCATGTATTTAGTAGCTAAGCGTCAAATTAATTAAAGATGTGTTTAAAACAAAACAAACATTTTGTGAACTATCGGAGGTGAACGTCTATAATAAAGGGATCAATAATGACAGTAGTTGTGTTTTGTAAATTCACTGTTCGATAATGAACTGATAGGCTACTGATATTGTTTGAAATATATGTAAAAAGAGGGGGGGGGGGGGTCTTATAACCCTCCATAATTCGCACCCTGAGTCTAGTCATTCTGTAGGACCACCAACCAAGTATCAGCTTTCTTACTTTGATCCGACTGTTCAATTTGTTATCTTCCAAAAACAATCTATAAATAACACAGTGATCATTCATTTTCATCATGCATCAAAAGTTGGCAAACCACATCCATGACATTGTACCAACCCAACATATATATTAAAAAAAAAAAGCCTTTTGGATTTGAATCATGTGCCTACCGATATTAAATCAATTACCTAAACACATTACATCACAAACAAGCTGTCTTTTACTTTGGCACAAAGGGGTCAAATATATAGGCTTAAAGGTACAGCGTCAGATTTTCTTTGATTGCCTCAGAGCGCGCTTGATGAGTACTTCGCCCGTGTAATGAGGTAAAGAACGATGTCTTGATGTCCACCAAATGCTGCTATGTGCAGAGCACTCCATCCATCTCTGTTGGCCAGACGGATGTCTGCACCAAACTTCACCAGTAGCTTTACTAACTCCAAGTTGCCATCGATCACGGACTGATGCAGCGCCGTCTGTCCCTCGGGTCCGAAAGAGTTCACGTTAAATTCACAGTTTGTCATGTTTTGCAAGAGAGAATGAAGTTCCTTAGTATTGCCCTTCCTGAGCGCTTCCTGAAACACTCTTTGACGCGCAGAGCAAGTCATGTCCGCCTGACTCATGGTTTCAACAGGTAGACCCCTTCGTTTCTGTTTCTGAGAGAAGATAATGAGCCAGGTCTTCCTCCAAACTCCGAAATACCTCAGCGAACGTTAACCAGGTCAGTAATGGAACTTAATAATTCATAGACCAAGCTCCAAGGTATTCGCAAAATCCCCCAGTTTAGGTTTTCCGCCGATATTATAAAAATGTCATACGGTCCTTAAAGCAGGAGCTGGGGATTTCAATAGTCCGGCATGTGGTGCTCCAATATCTGTTCCTAATAGAAAATGTATTTACTGTTATTTAATGTTTGCAGATGCAAAATATTGGCGGAAAACATTGTTGCAATCAATATATTAAGTGCTTTACCTTGGTGGTTCCCACGAGCGGGTGTTGAATTGCCTCCAGCTCCGCGCGCTGTGTTCTGACTGTATACTCCTCCTGACAGACTAGATTCCTCCTGTTGCGGCTCATTTGAATAACAATAGCCCGTCATGAAATTCGTCTTTTAGGGGCGGAGACTGTGTTCGTTTCATAGGCTGCTTTTTAGCAGACTGCATTGTATTGTTAATGTTCCTTACCAACCAAAGGGGAAATACAGAGAAAAACGCTGCAGATAAATAAACAATAAAAATAAATACCAAAAAACTTGAGACTATCCGTCTGACTGTCTGCCAAGTTCACATAATCTTAATTCCAGTCTAAATTTTTAAAGTATATTCATTTTAATTGCATTTTAACCCCTTTGAATTAAAAACGTGAATCTATCTATCTATCTATCTATCTATCTATCTATCTATCTATCTATCTATCTATCTATCTATCTATCTATCTATCTATCTATCTATCTATCTATCTATCTATCTATCTATCTATCTATCTATCTATCTATCTATCTGTCTGACTGTCTGTCTATCTGTCATTCTGTCTATCTATCTATCTATCTATCTATCTATCTATCTATCTATCTATCTATCTATCTATCTATCTGTCTGTCTGTCTGTCATTCTATCTATCTATCTATCTATCTATCTATCTATCTATCTATCTATCTATCCATCGGTCTGTCTGTCTGTCATTCTATCTATCTATCTATCTATCTATCTATCTATCTATCTGTCTGTCTGTCTGTCTGTCTGTCTGTCTGTCTGTCTGTCTATCTATCTGTTATTCTATCTATCTATCTATCTATCTATCTATCTATCTATCTATCTATCTATCTATCTATCAATCTATCTGTCTGCCTGACTGTCTGTCTATCTGTCATTCTGTCTATCTATCTATCTATCTATCTATCTATCTATCTATCTATCTATCTATCTATCGGTCTGTCTGTCTGTCATTCTATCTATCTATCTATCTATCTATCTATCTGTCTGTCTGTCTGTCTGTCTGTCTGTCTGTCTGTCTATCTGTTATTCTATCTATCTATCTATCTATCTATCTATCTATCTATCTATCAATCTATCTGTCTGCCTGACTGTCTGTCTATCTGTCATTCTGTCTATCTATCTATCTATCTATTTATCTATCTATCTATCTATCTATCTATCTATCTATCTATCTATCTATCTGTCTGTCTGTCTGTCTGTCTGTCTGTCATTCTATCTATCTATCTATCTGTCTATCTATCTATCTATCTATCTATCGGTCTGTCTGTCTGTCTGTCATTCTATCTATCTATCTATCTATCTATCTATCTATCTATCTATCTATCTATCTATCTATCTATCTATCTATCTATCTGTCTGTCTGTCTGTCTGTCTGTCTGTCTGTCTATCTATCTATCTATCTATCTATCTATCTATCTATCAGTCTGTCTGACTGTCTGTCTATCTGTCATTCTATCTATCTATCTATCTATCTATCTATCAATCTATCTGTCTGCCTGACTGTCTGTCTATCTGTCATTCTGTCTATCTATCTATCTATCTATCTATCTATCTATCTATCTATCTGTCTGTCTGTCTGTCTGTCTGTCATTCTATCTATCTATCTATCTGTCTATCTATCTATCTATCTATCTATCGGTCTGTCTGTCTGTCTGTCATTCTATCTATCTATCTATCTATCTATCTATCTATCTATCTATCTATCTATCTATCTATCTATCTATCTATCTATCTATCTGTCTGTCTGTCTGTCTGTCTGTCTATCTATCTGTTATTCTATCTATCTATCTATCTATCTATCTATCTATCTATCTATCTATCTATCTATCTATCTATCTATCTATCTATCAGTCTGTCTGACTGTCTGTCTATCTGTCATTCTATCTATCTATCTATCTATCTATCTATCTATCTATCTATCTATCTATCGGTCTGTCTGTCTGTCATTCTATCTATCTATCTATCTATCTATCTATCTATCTATCTATCTATCTACCTATCTATCTGTCTGTCTGTCTGTCTGTCTGTCTGTCTGTCTGTCTGTCTGTCTGTCTATCTGTCATTCTATCTATCTATCTATCTATCTATCTATCTATCTATCTATCAGTCTGTCTGTCTGACTGTCTGTCTGTCTTTCTGTCATTCTATCTATCTATCTATCTATCTATCTATCTATCTATCTATCTATCTGTCTGTCTGTCATTCTATCTATCTATCTCTCTATATATCTATCTATCTATCTATCTATCTATCTATCTATCTGTCTGTCTGTCTGTCTGTCTGTCTGTCTGTCTGTCTATCTGTCATTCTATCTATCTATCTATCTATCTATCTATCTATCTATCTATCTATCTATCTATCTATCTATCTATCTATCGGTCTGTCTGTCTGTCATTCTATCTATCTGTCTGTCTGTCTGTCTGTCTGTCTATCTATCTGTCTGTCTGTCTGTCTGTCTATCTATCTGTCTGTCTGTCTGTCTGTCTGTCTGTCTGTCTGTCTGTCTGTCTATCTGTCATTCTATCTATCTATCTATCTATCTATCTATCTATCTATCTATCTGTCTGTCTGTCTGTCTGTATATCTGTCATTCTATCTATCTATCTATCTATCTATCTATCTATCTATCTATCTATCTATCTATCTATCTATCTATCTATCTATCTATCTATCTATCTATCTGTCTGTCTGTCTGTCTGCTTTGCATGCTCTGCAATGAGAAAAAAGGCTGGAACTTGTCTTTATATTCGACATGTGAAAACATAATTTCAAGCATCTCTCAACTCTCAAACCTGACTTAACTTGTCTGTGTACTGTGGTTTTGTTGAATATGTCTTGTACTGTTCTTTGCCAGTTCAATAGACTCTCATTCAAATGTCTTAAAATCTTTGGCAGTGTAACAGGATCTCAATGGCTGAACTGCAGTGATGTTTCAATAGGGAGGGTGGGTCATTCAGGATCCAATTTTAAACCACGTGCTCTAGGACCGTGGGAAAGAGTTGAGCCTTTCTTCCCAGCATAGGAGTATACATAGATAGAAAGTCAGAGAGAGAGAGAGATGTATTATGTTAGAGAGTATTATTATTAGATTAGATATTTAGATTATTAGTATTATTAGAGAGAGAGTATTATGTTATAATACTCAAGTATTTTGATGTCTTTATAATTTTCCTATGTATTCCAAGCTTTGGCAATATTGTAATATATACAGTCATGCCAATAAAGCAATTTGAACTGAATTGAATTGAATTGAATTGAGAGAGAGAGAGAGAGAGAGAGAGAGAGAGAGAGAGAGAGAGAGAGAGAGAGAGAGAGAGAGAGAGAGAGAGAGAGAGAGAGAGAGAGAGAGAGAGAGAGAGAGAGAGAGAGAGAGAGAGAGAGAGAGAGAGAGAGAGAGAGAGAGGTAGATATTTCAAAACAGTTTCCTGTGGAAAGTTGGCATGGCGTATACGGTCTAAAAACTGAACTGTGTGATTATTCACTTGGTTATATAGAGTAATGTGTTACTAAACAAAACTGAGAGAGAGAGAGAGAGAGAGAGAGAGAAGGTAGATATTTCAAAACAGTTTCCTGTGGAAAGTTGGCATGGCGTATACGGTCTAAAAACTGAACTGTGTGATTATTCACTTGGTTATATAGAGTAATGTGTTACTAAACAAAACTGCACATATTTATGAAAAGGTTACAGAGAAACTTAACTGAACTTTTCAGGTTGAAAAAAATCTAACATTTTTTTTGTCACAGTGTCCTTGTTACATAGTAATAACTATAAATCATGCAATTACATGCAACTAACCCTGAATCAAGCCCTATTCCTAACCATAAACCTATAGTATTTATTAATATTACTCAGTATTTAATTACATTGTAACAAGGACACCTTACAGTTTTTCTCCATTGGTTTGGCTCATTTCTTGAAACAGAAATTACATTCTCAAAACTCTAAGATCATTTGGCAAAACAGTCTTACAGTTCAGCACAACACCATGGTTCACCTGCAAAAGCTCATACCTCTCCCAAAACAGTTCACTCATGTGTCAAAACTAAATTTCTTTCTCATTTAAACAGTCAGTGCCCCCAAAATGCTTCGTCTCTTTGGCATTGTGTAAGCCCTGCAAGTCAAAATGTTTAGATGTTTTGTCACTATGCAGAGGACCATTGAAATATCCCCCATGTCCACCTTTCAGCCTTAGCCTAGTCCTTTATTGACAATGGTTACTATACTGTTTTTAGTCTAGCTAACAGAATACAATTGTGTATAAAACTGGAAAAAAAAATAGGATTTTAGGGTAAGAGTTTGACATCCAAGGTTTGACATCACACACTCATACTGCCAAGGAAATTGTAACCATTATCATTCACACACATAAAGTAACTTCTATACATCAGAGTAAAAAGAAAATGTATACAGCATACAGTAATATACTGTAATATAGACACACAAACAAAAAACAATGAAAATGATATGCAGCCTACAGTGCTGTAAATAAAGTTTCACAACTAACAGTTCTTCACCGGTCGCTGTCCTCACCCTCTCTCTCCTGGCCACCGTACTCTATCGTCCATGGTGTCTTTGTGCTCTTCGGCCTCTTCCCCCTATTCCACCACCACGCACCTTTACTCCTCGTCCTCCTCCTTTTCTTCTTCCTCTTCCTCTTCCTCGAGCAGGCAGTTGCCCTTGTTCATTTACTTGGCCAGGTGCCTCCATGTTCAGAAACTGTACTGGTCCTGCATGGTCAAGCTCTTTACATACATGTTTGGCAGCATTCACAGTCATGGACAGAACCTGTCAGGTAACTAAACATACTGTTTGATTGGTCATCTGAGATGTGTGAAACTCCTTTGTTAGTCAAGTTAGTTTCACCTGA